GAACCTCCTCAGCAGTACTACAACCGACTCAGACAAGCGTACTTTGGTACCAAAAATGAGCCCGATATGGAGGAAGAGTTAAACTTCAAATATCTTTTTATCCAAACCTCCACCCCACTACCAGTCACATCTGGGTGTGGCAGCCTGCCCACGCACCCAAACCAGTCGACAGCTACGCGAGTTAGCTACAAAAGGATTTGAAAAGCAGAGACTCACCATGACGAGCATCCTGAGCCCCATGGTGTCCTCACTCTCAGCATCAATTCCCTACAGGTGGAGCCAAAACGAGCTCCTGGTCTTGAAACACCTGCGTCAACCTGCATCACCTCCCAGAATTATAGACCAAGCCAGAAGCAGAGGTGCAGCCTGCCTCAGCAAAATGAGCATGGTCGACGTCACTCAGAGCCATCTTGGTCTGAGAAGAGCCAAAATCTGAGGCCTGAAACCCATCGGCCCAGGTACACGCCCAACCGCTGTGAAACCCACCTCTTTTCACGGAAGGGGGACACAAGCATCACAATCCCAAACAATTGGGACAGGCGATCTCAGAGCTACACTCCAGAGATCCCACTATAGAGACACAATAGCGATACACTGAAAGTGAGTCTGACACACCCACTTTTAGTAAGGAGGAAATTACAGCGCTTAAGCGCCTGCTCCAAACCCTGTCCAAACAGGAAGATAAGAAGGCAGAGCACTTGGCCGCAGCTGCTGCAAAGCCAAAGTCCCCTTCTCCTGACACTTTGTCAAAACGACTGACACGCTCACACAGATGGACTGAGAGAACCGCTCCCTCCAGGACACTCCTGGTGGTACAGTCCACTCAGAGAGAATCCTCTCACAGAGTCCAAAGCCACTCAGGGCAGTCCGCCCTCCCAACACTTCTTGTGTCACCTTACTGAAAGGGGAGTTTCACGGAAATTCTACCTGCCTGTAACACTTGAAAACACTCTGGTGCAGGAAGCACTTCTTGATTCAGCTGCAGACATCACTATAATGTCATCAGCCCTCTTCAGGCAGCTACAGGCTATGACCCGCTCCCACAGACCTGAAACTACAGACTTGTGACATTGAGGTCCAGCCACTCGGCCCTGAAAACCTCAATCTGACAGCCATGACATTAGTCCACATGTCTATCGGTCCCATGGACCTCATCCACCCGGTGATGTCTCACCATTTGACGCCATTCCTCTACTCATTGGCAAAGACTTCCTTAACCGCTTTGAGCCACTGCTTGACTTTCAGAACTTGACGATCTGGGCACAGGTGAAACGACCCCTGCCTATCTCACTGTCTGAATACATCACAGAACGAGAAACCCGCCTCTGTGCTTTAGTTACCACTTCAAATGACGCACTGATCCCCAAAACCACTCCACTGGATTGGCCGATCAGCACCGACACTCATGACTGTGAGCTCAAGACTCCAGAGATGGGGCACATGCCTTCTTCCTTGCCTCCTACCTCCTATTACGAAGTGATTCACACTGAGCCTTCAAAGGCTACTGTCAGCCTTCCTCTTTGCCGCTTACCAGCGACTCTGTTCCCCAGGCAACAGCCAATGACAGACAGATGGGTGCACAAACTGTCACCGCTTCCCTGTCAACACTTCACCAGAGCCATCCTCCATGACTTTACATAAAGGCATGAGAGGGGGGTCAGACACCACTATTTCATCCTACAGCTGAACTTGACACCAAGTTTACAGCACTAGGCAAACAGGGTGCTGTTAAAGACACCCCCAGCACTCCCAAGCGGATTTGCTCCCCACCCATCCCGCCCTTATGACTTGCGACGCCACCAGAGCCCA